TATAATGTCCCTGTCGAATTATCAATTTATTACTGGCATCGGATCAACTGATTACCCCGAGAAAAGCGGAAAACTCGGGTACGAGCCGAAAGGCTTGCTGGGGCAACCTTAATTGAAATAGCTGTAGCCTGTATACATCCACAACGAAGCCGAAAATTCATTTGATAAAATTTTCGACATATACAGTTTATTGCTATCATTGTAAAATATAGATTTATATATCGTGATGATTTTGAATGCTACTGTACAATTAACCAATATTAATGGTCTGTCCTTCTATATTACTGGTATTTTCAGGTTTTATTTTTTATTTCGTTTCCCTTTTATTGATAATGTTTTCGACAACACTGATCTCAAGATAAAAACAAAACGCCAACGTCATTTTGGAACTTGATACAAATTTCCGGAATAAAAGTTGTTTTGCAAGATAGCGTACGCATTATTGACACACACCAGCTGCGAGTCCTATTGTTTTTCTCAAACTTAATCAAACATCAGTGATTAGACAAAATTAAACAAGGTCACATTATACAAACATGATACATATGCCACAAAAATGTACCTTCTACTCTAAGTGGATCGTTCAGTGCAGTGCGGAGTTCCTCAAGGTTCTGTTTTAGGACTTACCTCCATTGTTTCGTATTTTCACCAATGATTTTATCATTTTTATTTTCTCATTTTTAGAAAGATTTTAGATTTACGCTTCCACAATAATTAAAAGCACCATGGTTAAAGTCTCTCTGGTTAATTTAAAATTAACCCTGTTTGGAGGTAACTGAATGTTCCTGCTTAATTAAATTTCTTGGTTAATTTGATCACAATCCTATAACTTGATCATAGACATAGTCCTGGCTAATTAATCTGGATTCCGGGTTACTTTAACCACGTTATATATGGTTGAATTAACCAGATTATGTTATGTATAAGTTATGTATTATGTTATTATAACCAGAAATTATTGGTTAATATTCCACCTAACATAACCCGGTTAATTCAACCACATACTGAGCCTTCTGCCAAGAATCCTGATTAAATATAGCCAGGACTATGATCACGTTCACCAGGACTGTGCCTGTGGTTAAATTGACCAAGAAATTTAACCAGGAACTTTAACAGTTTAAGTTACCCCAATCAGGGTTCAGTAATTTTAGATTAACCAGGAAATTTTTAAATAGGATTCGCTGGGCGGGAAACTACGGAAAGCAATACCAGTTCTGAAGTCTTGGACTTGTCCCTATATATATAGCAAGATTTTTGTGTCATCTCACTCTAATGAATGATATTTGATGGGTATATTGTAGATGGAAATTGCCGAGTGGAAATTTATATACATTTACTAGACCTAACCTGGCAGCCGGAATTGAACCTGCGGTACTGCGATTCCGCGGGTGCAGCGTTCTGACCAACTGAGCTACAAAGCCAGTACAATTGCAGTTGCATGAATCATAACATTTAAAAGAGACGGGAAGGCAGTAATATATGCATGTCAAAGTATTGAACTGTTCAATAATTAACTAGAACTGTCATTAAATAATTTTTAGTACACTTGCATATTTTGTCTTCTGTGTAAAGCAAAACAAAGAAAGGTATATACATGCATTTAATCAATTTATACTTAGCTTTCTAATTTAAATGAGCGAGTTAACTGACCGTGCGGAAACTTAGCTATTGTTTTTTCTCTCTAGCACTGTCGAACGTTTTGCATATTCACATACATATAATAACATATTCTAATTTTCAGTCCAGTTTCAGCTGCATGTTATAGTTAGTCAAACGTAATTTATTCCTACACAGTCACAGCTAGAAGCCGTATATGCGCAGTTACAAGAACCTTGATTGGCTTTTAACCGTCGATTTTAGTATATAGACAGTATAATTCGGACCCGTAGCAAAATTTTGCTTTCAATAAAAATGGAAACTGGAGTTCATTGGTTAAAACGACCATTTTAGTTAACTGGTTCTCTCAGATGTATCCAGGTGACCAGTACAGCATGTAGCATATGCGCCCACCCAACATACTTAGCTTATTTCCGTCATAAAACGTCAGTGTATAAATCAAATTGGTTCGCTGTCTGATTTCAGTACTGCCATACTCATGCATAGACTGCCAGCAACGAAGCAAATTATCCCTTATTAAGGCATATAATTTATTTCCCTCGCAGACAGGCTCATTAACCGCCAAGAGGACAGTCAGATTTGACTTTTCACTACTGCTACCGCTACCATGCATTAATGAGCATTTGATATACTCCAGTAACCATTCAGATGCGTAATACTGCCGACGACCTTAACATTGCTCATCACTCAAACGGTCACGTATGATACTGAATTTATACGACCGTTACGACCGATATATGGAAACCAGGCTTAAACCCAATCACATTTATAGTCTCGGATCAATCATCAATACGGCAACGCAACGTCGACAGCCAAATTAAAAGTCTTGCGGAAGTTAGGCAAGTGCAGGTACTAAAAAATGACCTTGTAAGAATTGTTTCCAATCACAAAGCCTTTGTTTTAAGCTAAACCGTATTAATATATTCATACGATGGACATACTGCACGACAGCTTTTAATTCTCAGTTGTTTTGGCTGTCGTCACAGCGTATCTTAGTCCCTAGTATTTACAGTATATATAGTCGGTTAAACAAACGGTAGAACTCGATTTAACGAATACACAATTAGGTCATGATCCTTCATCATGAAACAGAGTATATACGACATAATCTTTATAGTGAACTGTCTGTGATGTCAATAACTGAACAAGCAATGGTGCCAATAACTGAACAAGGAGAATTTCAACGTTTCGAAGCGAAGGGCCTTTGTCTGGAGTTGTAGGCTACTATAAAATAGGAGAATATATATGGCTGCCTTACAAAAATGATTTCACGCCAGATCAAACAACAAACTGAAAACGTATAACAAGATTAAGAACTCAGTCGACGTTTCGAGCAGTATTTTTATCAGCATGTCAATCGTTCGCAGCTGCCACCAATGCAATCGACATTCAAGCTTTAAGTTTTAATGTATATACGGAGCGCAGAGGACTTGTATTATAATGTATAGTCATCATTAGTCATTACTAAATGTAAAATACCTCTTATACTTTAGCCATATACGAATATAGATATATAATTATAAAGTCTCTTATACACGACGGGTCTTACATTACGGAAAAAGCATCGCTTAAAAAACGTCTTCGATGCGAGTCAGTCTAGACACGCGCATTGTGAATATAGTCTAGACCCACACGTCTCGCCTTTGCGCTCGCAAAATCACCCAACTTTCGCTTTATATAAATGAATATTTTTCAAGATGACCTTATTTTTGAGGTCGGATTCCCGACTGCGCGTCTCCAGCCGTGTTCCGTTTGTTTTCCACTTTTCTGACATTACAGTGAAAGACGTAAAATATTTCGAACAAACCCAATCAAATGCGATCTCTACATGTTGACAATGTAACCCGAGGGACAATAGAGATTAATAATTAAAACACATTTTAAGATGCCTATTTTGCGAGTCACGCGAACTTGAAAACCGTTCCAATGGCCACATTTTCACACTAAATGGGATGTTTTGATAACTAGAGATAGCAGGATATGGTTTTGAAGGGTTTTATTTCAACACTTTTCGTGTGGTTTAAGGAAAAAGCACGAAAATCTAAACAGGTTTCAAAGCCAAGGTTGAGGTCAAGTGTCTTCGCCCACGCTATCTCAAAACGGGTGGTCAGCTCACGAATGATATCGAGAGTCGAGGGGCGATGGAAAATTGTCGAGAATCGAGGGAAAATATCTCAAGCCGAGGAGACTGCGGCAACTTTTGCTGCGAATTTCTTCTGAATTCTGATGTATATGTGAACGAGTTGATCAGTTATAGATTTTTCGGATGAGGCTACATATATATATATATATATATATATATATATATTATAATTTTAATTGGGGATGCCAATGTTTACGAATTATTTTGGCTCATCCGATCTCATATTCGATGGCGATTGCGATGGCAGTTGCAGTCTATGGACTATGATCTTCACACGAATAAACACTTATATTTTTTAAGCATATATTTGAGGCATGTGATCAGGCTCAAGCTAGCTGATTGGCTTAGCTAACTTAAACCATCGAATGCTCTTGAGGGTCATTGAAGTTTCACGTGAAAATAGGCACTTTCGGAGTTTCGTCACATTGTCCTTGCGACGTCTGTATCCTTAGATACAAACCACTGGCTAGACTTCTTAACTGGAAATAACCTACGGAGGGCTACTAGTTTATCAGTTGAATTTACTCGAATTTACTTACTTAACGAGACCGGTTAAGTAAAGTTTGATTCGTAGCCTATAAAACTCTCGGTAACTTTCGACTCCTAACGAAGAGCATATATTCGAAATTCGAAAGCCAAGTATATTTCGGAGTTTGGGCAGTTATTTGTGTTTTTTTTTCTTCATTTCTGCAGTGGTTCCCGCAATCATTAATTCATTCGTAATTCGTTCGTTCATTCGTTCGTTCATTCATTTGTTATGCCAGTAACCATTACATTAGTCATTAATATTGTTGCTTTTTAACCAAATCACGGACTCACTAGTAAAGCATATATACTCTCAAATAATATTCTTGTAATGTGATGATCACTGAAACATAGCCATAGCCCGGCATAGGCTACGGCTAGAGAATAAAAACTTTGTTTTGTGTTATATATGATGTTCAGGTCAAGATCAGGTTAAACATAGCATTGCCTTGCTCTGGTCAAATAAACGTCCTAGCCTCCTTCCGTAGCTAGGTAACTCTGTATAGCAAACGGAGGAATTAGATAGAATACAGTTTTTAGCTAAGCAATCAAATTATCTTTCCTCACACTCGAGAAAAGCCCACGTCCCGCGACCCTCGCGGCAGTCAAGCTCGACGTGTTTTGGCATAGACACGACGATATAATCATATTTCTGGTGGCAAAGGCGTCGAGACAGTAAGTTTTGTCTGCCGTCGTAAACCAAGCTCGCCGTGCGATGGAAAACAAAGCCAGGGTGGCTGATAAAGCTTTAATACAAGTTATCTTACAAGAATACCGTGACCGTTCGGTAGATTCAATCACTGGGCCTACAGCCATACGTAAATACGAAGCCGCTACGGGCAGACATCGAGTTTGGCCGGGCTTTGCTTCAGACATTTTGAAAAGCAAACGCGACCATGTTTCGTCTAGAAGGGATCTAGACAGTGCCTCATTCACCACAGCGCGTTTGCTTGCCCCGTCTGGAGTCGCCGCAGCGCGAAGAAGACCGAGCAAAGTTAAACGGACATTGTTAGATGGAATCCCAATCGCATGTTTTAATATCGGTGGAGAAAAAAGGCTTTGTTTTGAACAGCTTTTAACGGAGGTACTAAAAGAGTTCACCTTAAGCGAAGTGAACAATTCGCGTGATCACTTGAAGATATATTGCCCTAAATGCGACGAGGATCAACTAGAATCGCTAAAACTCTCAAAAACCGTTCCCTGGTCAGACTCTTCTTGTCTTCTCATCACCAAAAGCGATGCGTACCGACTCTGTAGCGCTCTACTCGCGAACAAAGCGCCTCAAAGACACGATAAAAAGTACACAAAACCGTTCCTCGATGTCTACCACGAATGTTTTGGTGGTTGCGAAGGAATTTTCGAGCCAGAAATTTACAACGAACCTCACGCGAAATGCGTTACGTGTTTAGAATGTTATCGGATGTTTTCGCCGCGAAAATTTGTTACACATAGTCATGCGACGACGGAAATTCAAACCTGCCATTGGGGTATGGACAGCTCGAAATGGCGCGACTACCTGTTACTACCAGACGAAAAAGCAGACGACGAATTGATTAAGGTAGGCAAGTTTTGATTTTCTTTGTCCCCTCTTAATTCAACTCTATAAATACGGTCTGCGCTCAAGCTTACTTCGTCCTATCTCGATATAAACCGGACTTTTAA